CCTGGATCAGGGGGCCAATTTTGCTCCTGCTGTCTACCTGGCTTCTGCCTTGTGGGGTCCTGTGCCCTAGAGTCTCTGAGGCTGTATTTTGCCCTCAGCCTGACACCCCACCCATGGATGTCCCCCCAACTTCTGGAGGTGTGATCCAGTACCTAGGACCAGCAGCACAGGTGTCTGACCTGGGTAATCCCACAGGATCCCAGGCTTAGGAGGAGCCCATGCTGGGTTTAGTGCTCTGCTATCACCATCTTGAAATTCTTAATAATTTTTGAACAGGGGCCCCCACGCTCATTTTGCACGTGGTAAAAGTCATTACCACGCCAGCACCTTACCCACAGGCCCTGGCTTGTGCCTTTCCCCCAAGTGTCCTGCCCACACGCTGAGCTCCACCCTCCCATCCTGAAACATCCTTGAAAGTGGTAAAGCAAAGCAATCTCAGGTCTGCCAGTGCCCGAAGGAAGAGGCAGGGCACCAGTTCTCCCTGGGCAACCTCTTGGCCAATTTGACCGAGCAGAAGCTTAACTGGAGACTGATTCCCAGTTAATTATAAAATTGGCCGTTTAGCTTGATTTATGCTTTTCGAGAAAACTGCCCGTCCAGGAAGCTCCTGTGTCGGTTTGGAAACCCCTGCTGGTGCACAGCATGATTTCTTCAGTTGCTTTGTGATTTGCTTGGAAATTACCAGCCTCTGGGTGTTTCCGTGACAATCTGAAAACTGCGGTGACTTAACCAAAACAAAAGTCATTACCTTTGCCCCCGTTTTGACAGCTAAGCAGGGAGAGGGGAGTGATCATTTCTTTGGGTCAACTTTTTGAGGAGGTCAGATGGGACGCAGGAAGGGACAGAAATGAAATAAAAGCCTAACAGTTCCAATGGCGTCACTGTCCAAGGTCACATGACGCAGTGCTGCAGTGAGTCCCCCACTTCACCAGAGAACAAGGGCACTCAGCACATCCACAAAATTTGTTCTGAGCATCACTAACAGCCGATTTTTTGTTTGTTCTGTTTTCAGTGTTTTATTGATGTACAGTATATGCAGAAAAGTGCACAGATCCTCCGTGTACAGCATGAATAACTGTTTCCTGTTGTCATTTTGTTTCCAGTGTTTCCTGAGCACTTACTACATGCCCAGCACCAGACACGCGCAGGCATCAGTTTAATATTCACAGGTGGGTGCTATTGTCCCCAGTTTACAGATGAGGAAACAGACCCAGGAGTAGATGACCCACCCATACATACCCAGCTGGCAAGCAGCAGAGCCAGGATTCGAACCCACGTTGCAAGCCCCAGCTCTAGTGCTCTCAACTGGTATGCGCTGTGGTTTCAGGAGGCCCTTAGGTATGAAGGAAGTGATCTGAACCCATTCTTTCCCCACCATAAACACTAGCCTGTCCCTGCCTGAGTCACTTAATCAGGCTCTTTTCTATGCTGTGTTGGCCAGTGCAGTAGCCGCTAGCCACGTGTGGCTACTGAGCTCTTGAAATGTGGTTGGTATGACTGAGAAAATGAATTTTTATTTAACCTTAACTAATTTAAATTTAAAACTGGATGCTTGAAAACTTGGATATGCGAATCTACTCTGCCAATTCTCAGTCTTTGCCGGAGAATTATTGAATTAGAAACTCTGGTCGGGGGCAGCAATCCGGTCCTCAGGTGGAAATGAGGAGAGCAACGGGGCTCCCTTGCTGCAGGCGTGTTCTGAGCTACAGCATTTTTTGGAGGACAATTGGGCAGGAACTATCAAGACTCTAACTGTTCCTTTAAAACCTACAATTACCCTTCTAGGAATGAGTTTTACCCACACAAATCCCCAAAGATGTCCGTTACAGTATTGCTTAGAATGGTTAAAAATTGGAGCCAATCTATATGTCTAAATTAGCCAGGAACTAATTAACGAAAGGATACCCATAAAACTGGATTCTGGGAGACCATTAAAACGAATAAGTTAGATCGTTATGTTACTGACATGTAAAGATGTCCATACCATTAATTAAGGGTTGAAAGGAAGCGTAAAGGCACAACCACTACCATGGTTGTATTTGCGTAGAACTACATAGATACAGCTTTATGTATGTCACAAATTCTCCCAAGGTGTATGTCCAAACCTTAACAGTAGTAGGTTCTGGGAAATAGGCGCATATACTTCTGTACTGTTTGAATTTCTGTCAGAATCACATTGTTTGTAATATGCTGTAATCACAGTCGAGGAGAAATGACGTTTTAAAAATTCTGATCTGGGCAATTCCCTAGTGGTCCAGTGGTTAGGACTCCATGCTTCCACGCCGAGGGTCCAGGTTCAATTGCTGCTTGGGGAACTAAGATTCCACAAGCCGCACAGCACAGCCAAAAATAATAATAAAAATAAAAATTTTAGGGCTTCCCTGGTGGCGCAGTGGTTAAGAATCCGCCTGCCAATGCAGGGGACATGGGTTCGAGCCCCGGTTCAGGAAGATCCCACATGCCGCGGAGCAGCTAAGCCCGTGCGCCATGACTAGTGAGCCTGCGCTCTAGAGCCCACAGGTCACAACTACTGAGCCTGCGAGCCACAACTACTGAAGTCCTCACGCCTAGAGCCTGTGCTCCGCAACAAGAGAAGCCACCGCAATCAGAAGCCCGCGCACTGCAACGAAGGGTAGCCCCTGCTCACCACAGCTAGAGAAAGCCTGCACGCAGCAACAAAGACCCAACGGTGCCAAAAAAATAAATAAATAAAATAAATTTAAAGACATTGTTTTAATAAATAAAAATTCTGGTTTTGCTGTGAGAGGCACACTGAGCAGGGGGAAGGGGGTGACAGTTCTCAGTCGAGATGACCACACTAACCCAGCTGAGACTCCACAGTTTGGGGTTCTGAATCCTGAGCCCCAAAGAAGCCCTGGAGTCCCTAATACTCTCTTCATCCAGAGGAAGGGGAAATGGCACATATTGGGGGTTACTCACATCTCAAAGTATCCAAAACTCAGTGACCCAGGGTAGTGTGTGGCCCAGCAAAGGCCTGGGTTTGGGGTCTCACGGACCAAGGTTTGAAACCCACTCCAGGGACTTCCCTGGTGGTCCAGTGGTTAAGACACCATGCTTCCATTGCAGGGGGCATGGATTCAACATGCAGTCAAAAACAAAAAGAAACCCACTCCACCCCTTGGCGGTAACCTTGGGCCATTTACTTGACCTCCCAGAGCGTCTGTTTCCTCATCTGTAGGATGAGAGAGGAATTCTTGCTTCACAAGTGTGTGGTGAGGATGAAGTGAGATGATGCACGCCCCCAGCACATATGGGTACTCAACTTGGTCCCCTCGCCCCTCGGCCTTGGCCCTGAGACACCAGTGGCCCAAACCTTCCCTCTCCTCTCCTGGGATTCCTGTACCTGCAGCCCAGGTCTGCCCAGCCCAGGCACAGCGCCCCAGCAGCCTGGCGATGAGGACCCGTGGGATCTGGGGACACGGTGAAGCCAGGGCCACCAGGGCCATTTGGGCAGCAGGGAGAAGGACACACACACACACACACCCCTCCTGCCTTACCAGACAAAATGCCAGAAAGGGGGCCTCAATCCATTCCCTCAGAGGCCGGGGGTCTCAGCCTCCCACCCAAGCAGGGAGGGCATCTTTCCACAGACAACCCGTACACACACAGCCAACAATCCTCCAGAGCTGCTAGCCTTCCAGGGGCCCCAGGGAGCTGTCTGGCCCGCCTTCTGCTGCAGGTGCCGCTCCGGGAGCACGGCCGGACATTCTTCCTGCAGAGCCAGGCTGCGGCCACCCTCCCTCAAGGCCTGAGCTCGCCCCAGGAGGCTCCTCTGGCTCCTCCAGAATGGCTGGGGGCGGGTGGTGGACGGTCGGGGGGAGCTTGGTGGCTTTTCTGGGTCAGCAGGAAGCTGAACGATGCCCCAGCAGCCCCCTACAGACAGCAAAGGGGCAGGGGCACTAAATGGTACATTGCATGGAGCAGGGCAGTTGGAGAAAATGTCAGACAAAGCCAGCGGCGGGGGGAGCTTCAGCCAAAGGGGAGCTTTTTGTTATTAAAAGCGTTTATTCGATGCCAGGAAAGCCCCCAGAAAGCACAGCACTGACAGAAGCTCGTGACAAAGCGTGTGGGGAGAAAGGGGCGTGTGTGTGTGTGTGTGTGTGTGTGTGTGTGAGACACACACACACACACACACACACACACAGAGACACACAGAGACAGAGAGAGAGAGGGAGAAAGATAGGGGTGGTGGGGAGAGACATGCTCCGATTTGTGTTTTGGATGGATTGCTCTAATAGGGCAGAAAAAAGCAGAGCCAGAGAGAACAAGGTCCAGGAGACTAGCTAATAATTCAGGCGCTAATAATTCAGACTCATTCTCTTGCCTTTGTTTAGAAGTCTTACGGTGGCTGGTGGGATGTGGGGTGAGAAAGAAAGAAGGGACACAAAGATGACACCCAGGTGATCCCTGAGAGGGCCTGTCCCCTTCTCCAGCCCATCAACCCTGCTGCTTGCCCGTAGCCAGCGGGGGTACAGGGACAGGGGGTTTCTTGAAAGGTCAGAACATTGTGTCTCCTCCATATTCTCCTCCAACACCCCAACCTAGAGAAGAACTGGCACAGTGGAACAGGGACCAGGCGCTAGAGTCAGGGTCCAGGTTCAAATCCCAATCCTACCCGTGTGACTCTGAGCAAGTTGCTTGACCACTCTGAGCCTCAGTTTCCCCATCTGTAAACCAGGAATAACCAAAGACCCTACCTCACAGAATGCTTGTGAGCATTAAAAACCATCATGTGGGACTTCCCTGGTGGTGCATTGGTTAAGAATCCGCCTGCCAATGCAGGGGACATGGGTTCGAGCCCTGGTCCGGGAAGAGCCCACATGCTGCGGAGCAACCAAGCCCGTGAGCCACAACTACTGAGCCTGCGCTCTAGAGCCCGCAAGCCACAACTAATGAACCCATGTGCCACAACTACTGAAGCCTGCGTGCCTAGAGCCTGTGTTCCACAACAAGAGAAGCCACCGCAATGAGAAGCCTGTGCACCGCAACGAGGTGTAGCCCACGCTCGCCGCAACTAGAGAAAGCCCGTGTGGAGCAATGAAGACCCAACGTGGCAAAAAAAAAAAAGAAAAAACAATCATGTGTATAAAAAATGCATAGTGAAGCACCTAGCACACAGTAAGCACCCACTAAAGGTGAGCTCTTCCTATTGTAACTAGGCAAATGGCAGATAATGTACATAGTTATAAAATTAATATTTGTTATTAAAATCAACCTGAAGACTAATCAAGGAGTCAGTTTGAGGGAATTCCCTGGTGGTCCAGCGGTTAGGACTCGGCACTTTCACTGCCGGGGACCCAGGGTTCAATCCCTGGTCAGGGAACTAAGATCCTGCAAGTTGCGTGGCATGGTCAAAAAAAAAGGATGAGTGATTTTGAGCTTGATTTCACATACAGTGAGTTTGAATTAGAAAACAGAAGTTCAGAGCAAGATCCCCCAGCCCTTTGAACAGGTGGGAAAGAGATTCCCAAAGGTCAGGATGGCTCAAGGTGGTACCAGGGCTGGGCCCGGGCTGCACAGCTTGTCAAGTGAGTGGACTTGGTCAGGCCCAGCAGGTTTCTCTGGGGCCTGCCCTCACGGGCCTCTGAGTTCAGTCGGCAGCTTCTCCCCAAGGGCCAGCTTATACTGTCTTCACAGGCTCAGGCTCCTCCCTGGGGGGACTGGGAGGTGGTCTGTAACGGAGAAGAGCCGGGTCTCTGGAGGCGTTCGTGTGTCCATCAGTGGAGGAGACGAGTCGGGGGTCCCTGGGGAGCAGCTCACTCACCAAAGTCCTCTCCCCTCCCCGGCAAGTCTCCCATCCACCTCGGCCGCTGCTGCAGCCCCGCTGACTCTGGGAAAACCAGGCTGGGAAGCAGTGGAACATTGGATCTAGGGTGACAATGAGATGAAAGAGTAAGAGGGAGACAGAACCACGATGGGGCAGGAAGGGCTCTATATCAGAGTCCGAATATCTCCTTTTCTTACCCCATTAATTGTACACAAACAGTACGGGCTATGTGATTTGTGGGGCCCATTAAAAAAATGAACAATGTGGGTCCCCTTGTTCAAAAACTAAGAATTTCAAGGGAATTCCCTTGTGGTTCAGTGGTTAGGACTCTGGGCTTTCACTGCCGAGGGCCAGGGTTCGATCCCTGGTTGTGGAACTAAGATCCCACAAGCCACGTGGCACAGCCAAAAAAAAAAAAAAAATTAAGAATTTCAAGACAGTGACAGCAGAACATTAAACGAAGCATGAGGCTCTTCTGAACATGTGACCTTGTGGAACCGCACAGGTGACAACCTGTGAACCTGGCCCTGAGCACAAAACTCTGAGTGCGTGTCCAGGTGTGTGTTTTTCTGAGGAAAGGGCCCTCAACTTCCTTTTTCAACTGTCAAGGTCATGACCTGACAAGGTCAGTGTGACTGAGGTTAAGTGAGGGTCCCTGCTTCTCACCACCACCTCCTTTCTCCACTCGGACAGGCAGGGGCTCCAAGAGTGAGACATACAGACAGACCCTGGGGTAGGGCAGGCCATGGTGGCCCTGGGGACAGAGAGAAGTGGATGCATGAGAGATGGCATTTAGGACTTGCTGATGGACTGGACGTGGGTGGGAGGAAAAGAAAGGCATGACGGATGACTCCCAGGCTCGCGGCTCAAGCAACTAGACCAACCAACGGCAATGCTGTTCATGGAGATGCGGACCAGCTGGCAGAAGATCGGGTGCTGTGTTTTGCTTTGTTGGGTAGCAAAGGGAATTAAGAATCCCATTCTAGCCATGAAAAGGCATGGAGGGGACAGATAATAGAGCTCAGAAGGGAGATTAGAGTGAGATACATTTGGAGTCACTGGCATAGAAATGGCATTTAATCCCACTGGGATGGATGAGGTGTCCTCGCTGTTCAGTGAGGGTAGAGCTCTGATACTTGGGCACATTATTTAACTGCACTGACACTCTGAATTCCCATCTGTAAAATGAAGATAAAAATAATATCTTCTTCATAGGACTTCCGTAAATGAGCTTGTGAACGTTTAGCACGGGCTCTGGTACCTATTAAACACTCAATGAATATCAGCCATTATTATTAGTTACTATTGTTATCACGTCTTTCTCCTTCCTTTTACAAATATCTATGGCGCCTCCATCGTGTGTCAGGCATTGCTGTGCATGTTTTGGAGACATCAATTATCGAGCACGTCATGGGTAGTAAGTGCTATGGCAAAAAAAAAACAGAGCAGAGCCAGAGTGGGGAAAAGATTACAGTATTAAGGAGGGTGGTTGTCACTGAAAAAGTGACATTTGAGCAGCACCCTTCGAGGTGAGGTATGTGTGGGGAGAAGGGTTCCAGGCAGAGGGAACAGCCAGTGCAAAGACCCTAAGGAGGGTGATCGGAGGTGAGGTCACAGAGATAATGGGTAGGGGGGGCCTTTGTAAAGAAACTCTTCACGGCAGAGGTGACTGGTCCTCTAACGTGGCAAGAACAGGTCTCCCACACAATAAGGCAGAAGGTTCTCTGACATGGCAGAGACAGCAAGATTTCCAACATGGTAGAGGGAGCAGAGCTCCAACATGGCAGCCGCCCTAGGCTTTGGGCAGGCCCTGAGGCTCCTGTTTCCAGTCCCCCACCTCTTAGAGGGGCCTCACCTGGCAGAATAGCCTCACTAGCAGGGCCTCTCCTCCTCTTGGCTATGCAACGTCTTCTGGCAAAACTTGGCGGGGAATTTGCTCCAGGGCTCCCAGTCAAAGCAAACATCTGAGTCATTTTCCTCTGAATCTGTGGAGGGACAAGACAAGGCCTCTTCAGTGGTCACATCCTAGCTCCTATTTTCGATGCTAAAGGAGCCCCCTGCAGGGCCCAGGCATCCCCTGCAGCCTTATCTGAGGCCAGGGGGCCAAGGCAGAAGCATGGCAGATGAGACAGCCCCAAGACCTCAGGAAGACTTTAGGGCCTTGAAGGGTGAGCTGGGACCAAGAAAGAAGGTTGGCCCATGACACATCCATCTTCTAGAAGAGGAAGGACCCTAGGGGTGAGCAAATGACCTACCTGTATTGAGCATGGCCCAGGAGGGGTCACCAAGGAGACACAAGCCCACCTACCCACCTGTCCATCCATCCATCCACCAGTTCATTCATTAACAAATGTCTGAGTATATGTGTCCAATGGTTTCCCTTACAGCACTGTTTTATGGTGAAACACACACGCGCACACACACACTAAAATACCCTGGAAACCATGTGTGTGTCCATCATGAGAGGTCTGGGTGATGAAGTGTGGCACACTCACGTGTGGCATGTCATGAGGCTTGCAAAACACCCGCATTAGATCTGTATCTTGTAACTTGTTGGATGTCTATGGTATATTACAAGAAAGTTGCAGAGAAGTATATGGTAGAATCCCTTTTTTAAAAAAAAGAACGCCCCCTTCACCCACCAAAGCCCCCCACCAGGGATCAAACCCAGGCCCCGGCGGTGAAAGCACCGAATCCTAACCACTAGACCACCAGGAAACCCCCTCGGCCTTTTCTTGGTCTGAAATCTGAGGGGCTGTCTTCAACCTCCTCTACTTCTCTGTAACCAGTGAAACAACTTGAGCATACTCAGAAAAACAATAATCTCCCCCTTCTCCCTCTTTTCTTACCTTGCCTTCCCGAGATATGCCATGTTAGCAAGCTCAGGTACCCATCTAATAACACGTGTAGGTTTTCCTGCCGCTGGGAGGTGGCAGTGCTGGACGCAAAAGCAGGTCCCGGCTCCACAGTCCCATGCAGTTCCATGGGGGCCCTTGTCCGAAGGCAGGGAATTCGGAGGCTTCATCCTCCCTTCCTATGTCAGGCTGGGGATCAACACTGCCCTCCCTGGCCAGCGTCTCCAGGGCTCAGCTGCCAACCATCTTTTCTTGCCTCTGTACCCATCTCACCAGGCAGCTCCCCCCTCCCCCCCACTTGCTCCAGCCTCCACTTGGAAAAGCGCATTGGCATCCTCACGTCCTCGTGGGCCACGTGGCACTTGCTGCTCAACCTTCTCCCTTCTGGGCTCTGAAACCGCCCTGCTGAGCCAGGCCAGGTGGGGGTGGGGAGGGGGGAATCAGAGCTCCTCTTGACGGCTGTTCATACTGGATTCCAGGCCAGACTGATTCCAATCCAGAGATCCATGGCAGAAGAGAAAACCCCAGGCCAGGGTGTCCCGAGCCCCAGCCCCCCAATCCCTGGCAGGTCCAGACCCTGGGTTTGAGCCAATTCTCAGCACAAAGACAGAACACAGAAATACTGAGATTCCCAAGAAGACGGGGACCCTGAGGAAGGGCTGCTTGCCTCACTTTAAGGACAGTTTCTCTTCAATGCAAAATCAACAAAAGGACCTGTTTCAAACTGCCGTGTGAGATGTCAGTGGGTAAACAGCCTCTCAGGAGAAAGTCTGAGAGCGGGGTCAGACAGGGCAGGTTGTGGATGGCTTAGAGATGGGCCTCCAAGGAGAATGAATTGCTGGAGGAGGGTAGTGCCTTGGACCTCAGGGAAGGTGTCCCACCTTCCAGAAAACCCATCCAAAGCTACGCCTACACTTCCTCCTACCTTGACAAAACCGACACTGCCTGGATTATTTCTCAGCTTCCAAACACCTGCTATGTGCCATGTGTGTACAGGTATCCGGCCCCTGACATGCATCTCTCCACAGCCCCAAAGGGTAGGGACCGTTATTATCTCCATTTTGTAGGTGAGAAAACTGGGGCTCAGAGAGGATTCGCCCCAAGTCCCACAGCTGGTAGGTGTCAGAGCCCAGGTGAGACACTGGTCAGTCGGCACTCTTAAGGGTGTGGCCTTGGACAGGTAACTTCTCTCCAAACCTCAGTTTCCTCACTTGTATGATAAGGATTATCTCACAGGGTTAGTCTGAGGATTAAATGAAATAAGGTACACCAGGTGTTTAGCACAGGCCTAGCACAGTGTTCAAAAAAGCTATTGTTATGAACGATTAAGGGGCAAAGCTGAAACCCGGGCCCACATCCCCTAGACTCTGGAGAAACGGGATTTTATAGCCACTGCAGGCAAGGGCTCTGCCTTCTACCCAACACTGGCCCTCAGGGAGGGCTGCCGTCCACCCTGGTAAACAAACATTTTCTGGAAGCTCTCGCCATGAACTCGTAACAATTGCACAATTGCCGGCCCCTACATGTGAGATTATGGGGCAAGTTGGGGGTGAACTGCTCAGCTTGTCTGAGCACCATCTGAGCAGGGCTGGCAGCACACTCAGTGCCCTCCCTGCGCAGGTGGTCAAAGGTCATGGGGCTGCTGAGCGGGAGGTGGGAGGTCAAGCAGTCCCCAGGAAGAGGCCCCTAGGTGATGGGAGTGCCGGGGGAGACGGGACACCTGAGGAGCAGAGTGTCATTCCTGCCACGTGGCCAGGCCGTCCCCCGTCCCCACCGGCCCACCGCTCCCAGCCTCCCTCAGGCCTGCTTCGCCCTGCCTCCCACTCCTCTGGGTGGCATGCTGAGTTCAGGACAGGTGTCGGTCAGCTTCTGTGATCCTGTGTCCCACAGAAACCCAGATCCTCCCTGATGTGCGGTCTGGGCAGGAAACTGTGTGAGTGGTCTCTGGGCACCTGCTAAATGCTGAAGGCTGCTGTACCCATCAAGCTGGTTGCTGACTGCAAAAGCACAGGGCTGAGGGCCGAGAGGGGCTGAAAGCCAGCCCACGCTCTGCTCACCAAGCCTTGTGCCCTGGCTGCATTCACAGGAAGGGACGTCTTTTACTAATTCATCTGCCCAGAGGGGCCACCTCTTTCTGATTTGTACCAAAGACCTTATGTGCTAGCTGTGGCCCTGAAGGGACACCTTTTTGTATGTGTATTTATTTATTTATTATAAAGATTCAATTCCTTCTAAATTAATGATTGGTCACAAAAACAGAAAGCATTTACTGCCATGCTGAAACATACATTTTACATTTGACACCATATTTCACACAAAAATTATAGTTCCACTATTCTGTATATATATAGAGAGAGAGTTTACATACACATTTTGATAATAATAGCTTCTATTACCGGTGGTACATGACTACTGCTTCTTCAGAAATAATATGAATTTTGTATACACGATAACCAATTCCAAGTACATTTCTGCTCCAAGTTTATTTTACCACAAATATATTTATATTATAGCGCAAAAGTAATAAACCGTTTTATCTTCTATCTAGAATATCTTAACTAAATTCGCAATCACATTCACAATACTTTCATATGTACCAAAGACCTTATATGCTAGCAGTGGCCCCTGAAGGGCCAGATGTGCACACGTACACATTGTTTTCCAAACTCAGGATTCACTCTGGGACTCCAGGTTAAGAAACGGTAGACTACCAAGTCCATGCTTTCCCGGAGCCAGCAGGAAACCCCTCTGCCTGAAGGACGCCCCTCTCTCGGCAGTTGTGTGGGGACTCCCAGCATATCCCACGCCCTGCCCAGCCTCCAGGATTAGGGCCCGGGCCTGGGCAGCTCACCTTGGCTGAGTAAGAAGTATAGCCAGACGATCAGCAAGAACAACAGCAAAGCCACGGGCAGACAGAGCCAGAACACCAGGAAAGAAAACGTCAGCTCGTTCACCAGCGGCACCAGAGGGTACTTCATGGTGCGTGTGTGGCTAGGCCAGGCTGGCCTGGGCTGGGCCGGCAGGCCTGCCCTGGGGACCTGGCGGGCCGGGCCACGCTCCGCTCTCAGCCCAACTGTGACTGAACGGGTGACGTAATAAGGAAACCACAAGGTCCTTCAGGCAGCTGAAGAGAGAGCTGTTTTGGACGAGTGGGAAGAAACTGGGGACAGTGGGACAGTTTGACTGAGAACAAAAGCTCAGGCTTCCTGGCCTGGGTTTGAATCCTTGTAAGATGCTGTGGGTTCACGTGACACCTCCCCGACCCTCCTGTAGAATAGAAATAATCCTTACCTCGCCAAGCTGCTAAAAGTTAGTAAAGTGGATACAAATTGCCCCCGGGTGGGTGTTCATGTATCTGAGGTCACATATTCCTTCTGGAGCCAGCAAGGCCCTCAGTAAATGACTGTTATTTAATCTGGAAGCTTCTGCATCTCTCCTTATTAGGGTTTTCAGTGAAGAGCTTCTAAGACTTGAACCTTGTTCCTTTATCTCCCAAATGGGCAAGACACCCCCAAATGCTGAGCTTCTCTCTCCCCCTCGCCTCTGTCATTCTTTCATTATGGAGTAGTCAGTAAATCTCCGCGTCAGGTCCCACGACAGGAAGAAGGCGCTGGACCTCCCAGGGCCTGACAGCCCCTAAGCTGGAGAGAGACTCTGGCCAGGCTGGGAGCCTGGTGGGTGCGGGAAGTCCACACGAAGAGCAGCTGCTGCTTATGGAGGGGAGGAAGGCGGAAGCGTGGTATTCTCCAACTGGCCCACCTGCCTCAGCCACTGCCAGCAGAGGGGCGGAGGGGGCTGGACGGTACTTATGAGACATGCCGATTGGCGTGCTCACCCTGCTCTGGAGAGTCAGAACCTCCAGGGGGTGAGGCTTGGACGCCGCACGTCGATGGGCAACCAGTCTGAGGCCGACTTGGTTTTCAGACCACGGCATCTCATGGAGCACAGGTTGGAAAGTCAGGCAGACCCAGTTCCAGGCTGGGGGAGCCGCTGTAGGAAGTGGGTGGTAGACCTAGGGGAGACATGGAGTGGAAGGACCCCCTTAGAGGAAGACACTGGCCCAGCGAGAAGAGTAAGAGGGGTCCAGCCACAGTAAAAATGGGGGCGGGGACAGCTGGGGTTTGGAGGGCCAGTGTGTTTAAAGGGAGTCTTAGCCCAGCTGTGGAATGACCCAAGCCCCCAGCAGAGGAGGGTCAGGGCAGATGGTATTAGAATGTGCACCCATGAAACACGGTAGCCTGGCAAGCTGTGCCACTCAGGGCCCGGGGGCCAAGACCAAGAGCTGGGCGGTCTGGGTTGGGGTGATTTCTTGGCACTGTTTTTTGTTTGTTCGTTTTTGGCTGTGCCGGTCGTAATTGTGGCACGCAGGATCTTTAGTTGCAGCATGCGAACTCTTCGTTGCGGCACGCAGGATCCAGTTCCCTGACCAGGGATCGAACCCGAGCCTCATGCATTGGGAGCACGGAGTCTTAGCCACTGGACCACCAGGGAGGTCCCCTGGCACTGCGTTCTGAAGGGGCTGGGGTCAGAAAGAGCTGAGCAGCACAGCTGAGAAAGGCTCGAACACAGACCCCAAAACAGGGCCACCGTGCAGTCAGCCCAGGGCTAAGCTCCCCCGGCCACCGGAACCCAGCAGCAGGTCCTGTGGTGAGGAGGCAAGCAAGTGTGGACACACACCTGAGGGGAGGCAACTCGCAGCCCGGGCTTCCAGTTGCACTTTGGGGGGCCACGCATTGTCACGTGGAGTCAGTGCCAGGCTGGAGGGGTGGCTCTTGGCAGAGTCATGCACCACAGCTGTTTGCTCAAGTGGTACCACCCGCCCCCCCCGCCACGTGTGACCTAGGCATTAGGTGTTAATCTGGCCCCATGGAACCTTCTGCAGCCAAGACCCTACAGTGGGCAGTGGGAGGACCTCCCCCTGCATCTCTGCTTTCCTGACTGGCCAGCCCTGGCAGAGCTCAGATCTTCTGCAGGCAGGGAGCTCAGCTGGCATTTCTGTGTTCCCAGGACACAGAGAGCCAGCCAGCCGCTCAGCAACTGCTAGCCTCTGTAAGGTGGGCCTCTGTTGGCAGTGCTTTAGTTACACAAGCTCCTTCCAGCATAGAAGGCCAAATAATTTTCTTTTTAAATTTATCAAATTTTGAGTATTTCATGATACTCTACAAAACCAGGGTGAAAACCTACTGATCTAAATTATGAAGAACACCCATGCCAGAATCAAACCAAAAGCACACATGACATTTTTAGATAAGAATCTCCTTAAAATTTAATTGACTAAATGTATTACATTCAATATTCCATGGGTTTCTTCTGGACAAAGGGGCTGCATAAATACAAACAAGCCTCTGGGCCTTCTTCCCTAACTGACGAAGAGGAAACACAGGAGGCGAGGGTACACAGGACACCTTCATATTTACATTTCGCCTTTACTTTACAGTTCAGTGCCAGAAATATTTACAGAAAATACAATAAGAAAAAGATCATGTCTTGGCAACATACCAAAATTCATACAAATTGTGTATATGATTTCAAGCAAATAATGATACTGCTTATTTTTTAGCCACAACTGCCAAGCCCTTCAGAGGAGAAAGATGTTCTTGGTCACTGCAAGAGACAAGGACTTGGGAAACTTGGTTTGCTTCAACAAATATTTATTGGGCGCCTACTGTATGCAAGGCACTGTGGAATCCCAAATTATACCTTTCCCTCACCATTAAAAAAAGAAAAGCATCTGAAAAACATGAGTTGATACTCCGAGAAAAACACTATACAGTACATGGCTTCTTTAGCTACTGAGAACCCACAGTTTGATTCCACATTGAACGGGTGGATTACCTCCAATCTCTCCATCTCGGGAAAAGAGGCTGTCATGGAAATCCCTAAAACAGACCACCTAACGCAACTTACCATTTCATGTAAACATATAAATCAATTCTTTTTAGGAAGATATAACCTGAAGGGGTTTAAAAATGCTGAATGGAGAACTACCAGCAGGAGTGTCAAATTACCTCCGATACATTTTTACCATCTACATGTCTTTGAGCAAGGCTGACTCCCACTTTCTTTGGGTAAAATTCCACCTTCCAATATAAATAAATACTCTTGAAGACACTGCTTCTCTAAAAATCACTCTGCAGAGTCTGACAAATGCTTCCTCAGTGTATGCAGGAAGTAACCATTCATGAAGCCCTCACACACAAAACCTGTAGGAACTGACATCACTGGCCAAAGATGTAGGTATTTTATTTTTATAAATGAGTCCAGAGGAAAATGGGTGGCCTCAGGGGACCTGAAGACCTGGAAATGGAGGACAGCATGCATGCATGTGTGTATATATTGCCAGGACGGGAGGCAGTCAAACCACCATGTAACTATCCAGGTCAAAGGGCCAACGGACAGGAGGGGGTCTTAGGAGGAAGCACTGACAAAAGAGAGCCGGCTGAACAGGAAAAGGCAAAAGCCCTCCTCTGTCCTCAATGCTCCCAATCAGAGAGGGGGAGAGAGCCCCTACCCCCCAAATGTGAGAAGGGACTACGAGGGGCTACCTGCCTCTGTCCCCTGGGTAATGCTTTCCTTGTCAACAAATGCCACACTCATCCACACCCTGGTGCACCTGTCACATGCAGCAACTAAACTGTTTAAGCCAAAGACCGAAGTGGTCCTGGCTTCCCCCCAAAGGTTCTGAACCCATGTTAGCAAATTTATCAAGTGGACTACTAAAGATTATTATTAGAGACTAAATATGCTCCTCTGGCATTACTGTACTCAAAGTGACTTTTACAAAGGCAGTTGAGAGAATTTAGTGACCATGAACTCAAACCCACAATAGTGAAAGGTCCAAGGGTCCCCACCACACTCCCTTTTTAGGTAGATGTGATTTTGAGCAGGAGTCGGCACCTGACGAGGTATGTGTGCCCCATACTCCGTCTGTGCTGTGCACACTGGGGTTTCACGTCTCTGGGAGCAGCACAGTCCTAAATCCATCCCTCCTTCCCTGGGAGCCCACAAAGTCTTCCAGATCATAAATGCATTCAACATGGTTGTTCACTGACTTATCAAAGCCATTAGAATTACAAAGAGTTGTCAGAAATTAGAGCAAACTGAAGCATCAGGAAGGCCACCCCAACACACACACCACCGTACATTTTGCTGACAGCAGAACTATGCCAAAGGTAAAAAGTGTTATCTGAAGAGTCACACTGAAGAGGTACACCTGCATCAGTTATTTTTAACCTCTGGAATGTTATAAGTTGCACGTTAATTTATAGCCTTCTTTGTCCACATCCATCAGAACAAGTGCTCATTTTTTCCCATGAAATGTCAATCTGGAATTTCCATGAAAGTTGTTAAACCTCACTTTACACCTGCTGAGCTACTAAAACATTTTTAGGGTAGAACGCGCTAATCATACAACCCCCTCCCCCATGCTACCATCTGGAAACATCAATTTATTGCCCAGATTAAAAAGAAAATCAATTACTGAATAATATTATACCCTGAATGGAAACTGGAGTCATAGAAGGAGGAGGTTACCTTTACCTGAGCTTAAAACAAACACGAAGAAAAAGGTACGGCAAATTTAAAACCAAGAGCTGCTATGCCGTTTCTTGCTCATAGATATCAACATGAACTTCTGGAATAGAAATATCTGCACAGGGAATTAGGTCCTATACTATTCCCCACCCTCTAATTAAACTACCAAAACATCAAACCAAACAGACCGTTGTAGGCCTGACCTACAGAATCTACTGACATCAGAGTTCAAGTGGGAAATCACCCCTTATACAACTGTGATCACTCCTCTTTGGACTTTTAAATGTCACTTATTTTCTTAACATAAAATAATCTTAATAAAGAAGAAAGTACATAAGAATAGGAGAAATGAGCAGTGTATACTCTAGCACTGTAACAGGAATCCTTGTAAGGATGTTCTGGGTCTGGCCACCTCAAAACATTTATCCCTGGCAGAAAAGTAGCAGCGAGGTAACAGAAGTATTTCAAAAACCCGGGCAGGGATTTGTTGTGCCTTCAGCCGGCAAAGTCCAGAAAATATGACAACAGCCATTCCTAAAAGCAGCCACCCAAGGAGGTGGTCACTAATGTTTGTCAATTATGATGAAATCTAGTAGCTCTCTGGGAGAGATCTGAATTAGTAGCGTTGAGAGGCTATTTCCTGAACCCCAAATTAGAATCCTTCATAAACTACTGCAGTTTCCTGCTTGGTCCTGAAATGAGACAATGGATGAAACCAAATAATGTTTAACCTTTGCTGTGAATTTATAT